CTATTTGTTTTGATTTTGAAACATTAGAATTCCTCATTCAAGATTAGATTCAAAATTTCACAATATTTTATGAGATTGTGCCACGATAATTAATCCAAGTTTTGAATGAGAATCGTTCTAATATTTAAAATACGCACCTACCTGCAGGTTTGTTTTGGATGTAAACTAGATATTTTTTGTACAGTGTCCAATATCGTCGTTAGCCAGAGTCTTTCAGCGTGCTTTAATTCATTACAAGCAACCCTGAAGTATTTTACCATCATAGTATGATTATATGAGTGTCTCAATAAATTATCTATATAATATATAGTATTTTTGGTGTAACAATAATAATATATACAATTTCCTACAAACTTGATTTTGGGTCCATGCCAGAGTAATTTATATCCAAAGCAAACGTTTAAGACAGGACATAGAACGCATTTGGTCGAATGAATATTCTTTTTAATATTGCATTTTAAGGCAACACATTTGAGAGCTTTGGACAAATAATAAAAATAGACAATCAAGTATTTCGATCATTCTTTATAAAAATAAAAATGAACATAATATATGAATTAAATTATTTATGATATAAATTATGATTTCTTGAATGGATAATTTATATATAGTGTATTATAAGTAGCTCATATTATTATTCTAGCAAAATTACAGAATATAATATTAATATATTATGCTCTACGGATAATCTACGTGTAGTACAGAGAGATTTAGTTTCCTAAAAGTTTCGTAATTAAAAGCATAATAATAATATTATGTCCTTATTATGTAACAGTTATTATATTTTAAACTTTATAATATTATAATATTGCAATGCGATAAATTATAGTATCATTTTACGTTTTTTTTGTACTTCCTCGATTTCTAATTTTTCTAATTTTAAAATAGCACTGTATAACTATATTGTATTTTTGAGTAATCATAAAGTTTAAATGACGTACGTAGTGCATATATAACATAATATAACTAAAATAAAACTAAGCCATATTAATAATAATAATAATAATAATAATAATAACAAACATAACAATTATTGTATTCGATGCAGTTGTAGGTTCTAATGATACTAGCTTATTGCACACACTTATCGCAATCGATACGTAAAGATAAAAAAAAAAATACTATTTAGTTATAGATAAATCATCTATAAGTGTATATAAAACTAACTGTAGATGTATAAAATGTATTAATGTATATTTTAATCCACTTATATTGCGTCTTCCGATAAAGACGCAGATCAAGATGTTCGTTATAAAAAATTTGATATACTGTTTCTCATATTTTGTAAATAGAAATAATTTATTGAACAATACAATATCTGTGTAGTCAGTACATACCTACGCTCGGTTACATTACAATTTTATTGCTATTAAGTATAAAATAAAACTCTAAGTAGTTAAGGTGACAGATTGGGAACCGTGTCTTATAATTTTAACCTTTTAAACAATTTGAATAACATAATATTCTAGAATTTATTTATTGAGATTAATATTATAATTGTATAGTTAAGAAAAATATTTTTTTTAGGTTAATGTGAATATTGTGAACAATGGCGAATCTTATCGTGTGGGACATTATAACTTTCCCGATATACTTAAATATTTTATTATAATTTAAAGCACCTATATTATGTTAAAATTATTTTTGTCTTTTATTTTAGATTCTGAGTGAAACGATGAATGTATTGATTTTACAATGATGTGTGTTTTTTTTTTTATTTTTTATTTTTTTTTTTATTTTTGTGTCTGTCATCACGTTTTAGGACAGTAAAAGTGCTTGGATTTTCTTCATCAGTAGCTTTTCTGATAGGAAAGTGAATCTAGTTGGTACTTTGGGGGGTCAAAAGTATAAATTTCCCAGTAGTTTTCACAAGCGCCGGGAAAAACAACATAAAAATTAAGGAAAAACGGGAATTTTTACGCAAAATTGGTTTTCCAAAAAATCGATTTTGGTTTTTGGTGTAACTCTAAAACAAATGAACGTATATACATGAAATTTTCACTGGTTGTTTATATTTGCATTTTCTATACACGATAACATTTTCAAAATATTTTGATTTATTTTGAACTGTTTAGGGACATTTTCATTTTTCATTTTTTTTTAGTTTTTTTTCTAGAAATATCAATAAAATTTTATTTGTTGGTTGCGAAAGCTTGAAAATTTAATAGAAGGCTCCTAATATGTTGTTTCAAAGGCAGATGAAAAATATTAAAAATCCTTAGTCACAATTTTTTTTTATAAGCACTTAAAGTTCAAAAATTGACAAAATATGGAAAAATCACGAAAATTAGCAAATTATTTTGAGTTAAGAATTCGTAAAAATTTTTCTTTTTAAATCTAAGATTTGAAAATTTAACACAAGATTCCTTATAAGATTATCTACCTTTATCAAAAAAAAAAATGTCTATAAGAAAGTCAAATTAAATTTTTATGAGCGTTTGAAATTCTAATTTTTACAACATTGAATATTCACTCGATTTCCCATGTAGCGATTTCCTTAGTTTGTTGTAATTCAAAAACAAATAACTGTAGATACATGAAAATTTCACTGAATGTTTAAATTAGCATTTTCTATACACCATACAATTTTGAAAATATTTTGACTCTTTTTGAGCTGTTTATGGACATTTACAGCTTTCAATTTTTTTTAGTTTTTTTTTCTATAAATATCAATAAAGTTTTATCTGTTGGGCCAAAAGTGTAAAAATTTAATACAAGGCTCCTGATATATTGTTACAATAGCAGTTGAAAAATATTAAAAATACATAGGCACAGTTTTTTTTTATTAGCATTTAAATATCAGATTTTGACAAAATTTATCAAAATCTCGAAAATTATCAATCATTGAAATTAATAAATTATAAAATGTTCAGTTTTTATAGCTAAGGATTGCAAATTTAAAACAAAGGTTCTCATAAATAGTTCATACTGTAACCAAAAAATCTAAAAAATATATGAACACAGTTATTTTTTACAGACATTTTAAATTCAAATTTGGACGAAATTACATATTAAAAAACCTAGAATAACTATTTTAGTTATTTTGTTGTGATTGAATAATATTATTCGTGGGTACTTGAAACTTCTAAAGTGTACTATTATATATCTATGATAGTATCACGGTTTTTGTTGATGTATAACGCGTTATAAGTACCTAATGTACATTGTGATATGATTAATTTGGAATTTATTATAGGTACCTATTATAGGTCAATTTTTTGTTTTATAAGACATATTATATACATATATAATATGTCTTATACATAGACTGACATACCGTCTCCGCTCAGAATCGTTTTTCTTATACAATGATATTATATCGTTGAATTCAAATTTAATATCATCCATTATACAGTGACCCACTTGTAACCTACTGTACAGCAGAGCGACATCCACTTACCCACCTTTTTTATCTTTTACAGTGGTCCGGTTATCTGACATATATATGACCGAAGTATTGTCGGATTATTGTGATTTATAAATGAAAAATAGAAAATCTATTAAACGGCACTCATACAATATACAATATACATACACTTTTTTTTTTTTTTGTATTAATTAACCCTCAGCGACACAGGATATTGAGTGTTGTAAGGTTGGTATGGTCGATTAGGAACACTTGTATGTGTTGCAAGGTTTTTGCGCACTACGAACCCGGGTGGTCACCCAGCCGAGTACTAGTGGCAGCGGCCGTTACTTACTCTCAATCACGTCGTGTGATTAATTTCAGCCACTGCACCACGCTGAGCCACACCTACACTATTATTGTTAGCCGAAAGGTAATATTAAACAAATTAAATTTGATTGGTTTGAAATGTCCTTAGATAAAGTATTTGATGTATGATAATATTTTTTATTGAAAACAATTTTCCCTATTATCTGACGTGTCGGATTATCACGTGGCCGGATTACTGGACTCAGCTGTATTTTTTTTTTTATATACAACTTATATTTTAAATATTTACCATATTTTTAAGTATTATTTTTCTTTGTAAATATTTTTTTTCAAACACTTGTACAATCGTTTAAACCTTATACCTTATACGTTTTAAGTGTAAATAAATGTACTGTATTCAATACAACAATATTAATATTTTAAATATTCAGTGGCATTTCAATACAAAACTCTAGTTTATTCATTTCTCATTATAGTAAGTATTGAGGGAAGTTTCTTAAGTTTTTCCATACAAAATAAATGTAATTTAATATTATATCTATATAAATAAATTATGATTTAAAATTATTTAAATATATTTTATAGTATAAATATTGCCACTATTATATTGAATGCCTAGTATATTATAAGTTTTACATCATAATATATCTAATATAATATCAGACAAGTGTTTCCAATTATACCAAGTTATAACGGCAGATAATAGATAAACGATAGTACTATCAATAATAAATGAATGACAAATAAGTGGTAATATATCCACCAAGTATATGAAATTATGATCCATCAAAAGTACCAACTAAATCTAATTTTTTATCAGAAATCACTGATCAAAGAATTTTTTCCACTATAAAACGTTTACACATACACAAAAAAACACACATCACTGTAAAATCAATACATACATCATTCCGTCCAGAATCTAAAATACTTCACCTAAAAGTATAAAACGAGTAGGTACAGTATAATACAAATCAAAATACGAATACTAGTTAAAATATAATATTATACTTACTCGTATAAGTATATATCAAGAATAATTATGTTTGGAAAACTAAGCTTGCCCAAAATCCTAACGCTGGTCAATTAAAACAATGGACGTACTCGCAGGGTAGGTAGTAACAAACGATGTTGTACGCTTCGTCTAGGAAATATTTGAATTTTTTGGATTCTATAATTTTATTGAGTTCATTTATGATAATGCAGTGTCATGCAGCTAACGAACTACTACGATATAAACTAGAGTCGCTGTCAACGATCTCAAATTAATTATTAGAGAAGTCATTGATACATTGTCGACCACCATCATGAATGAAAAAATATATCAAGAAGAACAATCTACAACATCTATCATGAACAACAAAGACGACAAATGTATTGATAACGTGCTCTGATTCTTCCCTAATGGCAGGTGGCGATGCTGAATCTGTCTGAGCAAACTGAGCAGGGTGCAGTACTGCCGCGGCCGTCGTGTAAGATGGTGACTTGACGTTATGGTTGTGACGAAGACAACAGAAGACGACGGGTGAGCGATAGAACTAATAGCTAGAAACACGGAAGTCCACATCGCTGGATCTGTGGAAACTGTTAAAATACTCAACAGAAAATACCCAACAACACACGTAAGACAAACCCCACCTTCAGACAAATAAAACTTTAGTTGAAACGGTGGCGTTCACAGAATTTCCTAAAAAAGACCAAGCTATAGTATTTAATGTTATACATAGTACCTATATCAGAAATAAAATACGTAGGTAGTAGCTATTAGTTAATTAACACCACCTTCCAATATTATTTTTGTTCCATGGATCTCAAACAATCGTTTCTGTGTATACTTCACAAATAAAAATATTGCCAACAACTTAATCAAAAACCATTCAAACTTAAATGTCAATAATAATATAATACACATACGTAGACTAAACAATTCGGCCAAGAGAATAATAATCTATAATCTTCACGTAAGAATACCTAACCACATTATTGACAATTAAATTACTGAAATAGGTATCTAACACATATATCTTCACTCTGCTTCATGAAAGCTGGATTTAATATTGAAGGACTTGAACACATCGGCAGCTTTAGAATATATATATTTTTTGACCCCGATGACACACATAAACTATCCGAAACTACATGAGTTCATAATATTCATTTTGACAATACTTATTACAGGATCTTTCTGTCTGATGAAAAATGTGTATATATTATTTGTGCAAGAAACCTGGCCACACCACTAATTATTGTAACAATATCTAAGAAAATAAAAAAACAACTACAAATGAACTCTCTTCTCGTAAAGTTATATTACCGAATCCAATTTCACACATTCTAACACTGTAGGTTATTCAATTGGTACAAAACTACACAATTCATTCCTAGACACCTCTTTTGAAAAATTAGATATCAATCTTCCTCTTAATCACTCTCTGTATCCGTTAACAAAACAATTTGACAACATCGCAGAACAAATCAAAATGGATTAGGTCAACAACCCCAAAGCTCAACACCTGCTCAGACTCTTGATAATACTCAAGACCTAATTCTGGATAAAAAAAAAAAAAAAACACACACAATGACATAACACGCATTCAACCATTCGATCAAAATAAAAGACCAGTGTCAGAAACATCTACCACAAAATGTCTTAATTCTGATACATCTCTTAACAATAATATGAGTATAGACAATACTCTAAATATTAAATAACACAATAACAAAAAACTGAAAATAAGATCTAGATCCAACATACATCAGCATCAAGAACATAAGATAATACTGATATTGATGCATTAAAACCTGCCAAATGCCTATTTACAAACAACAAACATCTATCTAAAACAACCATCTAATCTTCTTATAATTCAAATATATTTTAGATAATTTTTCTATCAAAACAGTTAACATATACAGTCTTTGTGAAGAAAAAAACATCCCAGTGTTCATAAAAATAATTGAAGAAATCCAACCAAAAATATCGAATTTCAAATATCAGAAATACGAAGACCAAGCTCACATAACTGACTAAGCTTCTGTTTCAAACCCTGGTCATTCTGGAGGATGACAATATAGTCCATTTTAACAACGGATAACATACTACCGTTTACCCAGCAAACGGCAAATTCTCAACTATTGACCATGGCTGTCAAGTCTATCACTAGTAATAAACTGTAAAAATAATAATATTTTTCATTAATCAATAAATAATTAAATACTAGGTGTCTAGGTACTTAAGATATAACTACTTTTACGATTTATTTAGGTACCTAATACTAATAATTAAGATTATAGAATAATGATATGTTATTCAAATGCGTATGACCTGACGGTAGGAAGCAAAATCCATTTTTCTTCTATATTGTTGAATTTAATCAATAAAAACAATATTTTTTATAAACGAAAAAAAGATAACTTACGACTTATCATTGATTCACATTGATTGAATATTAACGAAATTATGTATTGCATTCAATTATCTACTGTAAATTCAAATAAAAAAATATGGTCAAGTGGGTACCACTCTGCTGTACAGTAGTCGTCTAGTACTATAGTAGAGTCTAGTGGGTCACTGACCATTGTAATATATTTGTTAGATTTGAATTCAATGATAAATCATTATATACAAAAAACGATTCTAAACAAAGACAGTGTGTTAGACTGTACCAATTATTAGGTACATTTTATGATATTATTGCTGTTAAAGTAATTTATTTTACTAATAGTAATAAATACTGTAGCCTAATACTGTAGGTAGAATTCATTTTCGACAAAAAAAAATATTTTAAAATGTCACTGTGTGTATAAAATGTAGTTATATACTCTGTATGAACCTACAAACAATATTTTTAAATTACAACAACTTAAATTATAATTTAATATAATTTATTTATTATTTAATTTATAATTTGGTCCTAATTTGAACTTAAAATATAGATAAGGAATAAAAAATTTGAAAATTGAAAATTTCTATAAAAAAATTAAAACGAGACAAAATATTGTTGAATTAATTGAAAATAAGAAAGTTGATCGATGAGAATTCGTTAAATAAAAGTGAGAATCCAACTATCGAATGTCAAAAAAATTCAAACGCTCATAAAACTGATTTGACTTTCTGGTAAACTTTTTCTTTTGTAAAAGGTAGGAAAACTCATAAGAAACTTGTATTAATTTTTAAAATCTTAGATATAAAAAGACATTTTTCAATAATTTGAAAATGTACGTATTTTTGACGAGTTTCGTTAAAGTTCTAACTTCAGACGTACATACAATTTGTGTGTTAGTTATTATTATATAAATTTCAAAGTTTTTTGATTTGTAAACCTTTTGTTGTCCACAACAGATAAATTCTAATTATTACAAATCTAAATTATCTTATGTCTATATAAATAACTCAAAAACAGTAAAAATGTATATTTTAAAATATCACTAAAATACCTATATTGAAAATTGTCATACAAAAATGTTGTGAAAATTATAAGTACCTATTTCCGGATCTTTGTTTTAGAGTTACACCAAAATAACTTAATCGATTTATCAAAAACTTGACTTTCGTACAAATCCTCGTTTTTCCTGATGGTTTTTATCTTTTAAGATTTTCTTACTTTAGGAAGTTGAGTAATTTAATTTTAATTTTTAGATAGATTATCTGATAGGTAGCACGAAATTAATTTTATTTATAAAATGTTAATTTTTTAATTAATACATTATACCTATCCGATAATATATAATTACTAATTTACTAATTTATGTAGCATACACACAAAATAAATAAAACGACCTTTAAAATTCCTGAAAGTATAAAAAAAGAACACAATAAATAGGAAATTCGTATTCAACAAAATACTTCATGTCTTCATAACGAGTGTATTATGCAATGAATCTTTTGTTCGTTGATCTTGAAAACAAAATTCATCTCATATTTATTATGCCACTATTTTTTAATTCCACTTTAATCCGATAGTGGGTGTGTTGATTTCATAAATCAGGAAGTTTGAAAACCCATTCACATCCTCTTTAGAAAACTGATATGAACCATAGATGAAAGTAATTCATATTTAAATATATTATTAAGTATATAATTTTAATAACAAAATATATTGATCGCATTATGTAATATTATGTAAATAATATAATACTATATGTCATGAGAATTTATTATTATTAATATTTTTTATTATTAACATTCACAGGAATAATGAATATTAATTTCGTGTTATTCAACTATTGTCTATTTGTGAGTTTTTTTTAAATTAGCCATTGACGACCTCGTTTGGCTTGTTTAAAAGAAACGCTTACAACCTATATAGCATTCCTTTGATAATATTATAGATATGTGACTATTTTTAACATTCAAAACTAAAGTAGTAATTTTAAAATTATAAAGAAATCGATATTATTTAGATTGGTTGTATGCTTGATAATAGACAATTTATAATCAAATTCTAAATTTAGGCAATATAAGCACACATTAAAATTGTATGTGATTTTGATTTGAATTACAATATATTATTATCATATTATTATACCTATAATCAATAGGTACTTACTACTTACCTTTTTGCAAAGCGTTGTATAGATACGTGTACGCTAATAAAATATGATTATTATTTCCATTTGGTAATTTAGTTTTTAGTCAATTTTTTTTTTTTTAGAATCTTCTACTTTAAACCTATTATAATAAAATATTATTATGAATAGGCAAATAGCGTAAAGTAAATATTTGTCTTAAACGTATATTTATCTGATTGAAATGTGCTGCTATTCACATGATAACCTCGGATACGAGATAACCCACGTTTCAACCATGCTACCCAATACTTATATTTATTTTATTTTTATATGATATTAATACTTATAATATTATAATAAAAACATATTATCATGTTTTTTTTTTTAAAAAACAATAGTGATAATATAGGTAATATTGTTTATTATAACGATTACGGTTTATAAATTGCACACATAGAAGTCCGTGATGACGACGAAATTGTACGATTGCGAATAATAATAATAATAATTTGACATTCGAAGAAAATCAATAGTTAATTATTAAAATGCACATAAATAAAATATTATACCAACTAAGTAGTACTACACTACTACTACTGTACCTATCTGTAGTTAATATGTATACAGTGTGATTTACTAAGCATGTATTTCACTCGTACGCATAATTATTTATTTTAGTTGTATACCTATATTAACGAGTAACCAACCAATTTTCTAATTAAGATTTTTGAAATTTTCAAGTATACTCAAAGCATACATTTTTGAATAGGTACTTAAGTATTTTCAGCCATTTAAAAATCTCATTTATGAATATGTCACAGTAATGGATGTGTTCAATTTGTGTTCAATGATAAATAAATAATCATTGTATACAATAAAATTGTGAGCGGAGACTGGCTGCTCATTATATTTCAAGAGGATGTGATTCCCGTTTATGTTGTCACCGTCTTACAAATGCGTAACTAGCAAATGTTACGCTCAGCAGAACACTCTCCGTTAGTTTAAAAATTAGAGTGAACTGACCTCTTATAAAATCTAATGGTAACATTTTTATCT